ATAATAATAATAATAATAATAATAATAATATAAGTTATATAATACTTATATTATTATTATTATTATTATTATTATTATAGTTTAGGGATGGTATATTTAAAATATATATATTTTAAATGATACAGATTAAATACTGACACAGGATACATGTACTAATGTAGGCTAATAATAATTATATTAAATGACAACAGCAACTAAAATAATAATAATAATACACTCTAAAAAGTGCTGGGTTGTTTCAACCCAACCTTGGCAAATATGGACTAACCCAGCTGTTGGGTTAAATTTTTTAATTAAATTTTTAACCCAAAAGTTGTGTTAGTCCATATTTGACCCAAAGTTGGGTTGAAACAACTCAGCATTTTTAGAGTGTAATAATAAATTATTATTATTAGTAGTAGTAGTAATAATAGTATTACAGTTTTACTTTTTTACAGAAAAAAAAGAATGCATTACCCACTATGTGTGAAACATATAATAATTCTGGCAAATGGCAAAAACTGGGCAAAGCTTTATTTAGTGAGTCTCGGGGGAGATACAGAGCGAACGCTCTCCCCTCCTCCGCCATGTGATGACGGACAGACTGTATCACCGGAGCGATGCTTGAAGTCACTCTCATCAGCAACAAAGCGAAGCAACAGCAGCAGCAGCACTGACGTAAACCATCCACCACATCACCGGAATCATACGGACCAGGACCGACACCATATCGTCTCCTCCGCAGGACGTATAGGATGGAAACGGAGCGCTGAGAGAGACTGGGATCGTGATGATGCTCGGACTCCAATTCACGGCAACATTTGAAATGCGCGTTAAATGGAGACTCATGACAAGAGATGCTGCAGGGTGCCGCATTGCCTGGCCGCTTGATGATGGTAGGATAGAGCAGCGCTTTTAACCGTGATGCTCGTTCTTAGATGCTTTCGGGGTGGGATTTGTAGTCGATTGAATGCCTCAGATTTGATCATACGCAAACTAAGACGATTTCAGCCTGCTTAAGCCATATATGCATACACATATACAATCGATGAGCACGACCAGATGAATGTGAATTTACGTTGCAGAACAAGCATTAATAAACCCACAATACAGGTGAACTCAGAAGGAGTATATGAGGTGAACTAACAGTGTCGTAGCTTACACTCAGGATCATCTCCGAAGTCAGGTTTTTATTTGCAAGCACTGCAGTGATAGGGCTCTTTATGATTGATATTTTCATCATCAGTTAGGTAATATACAGTGATAGTATATACAGTCAGTCTTGGTTCAGTGCAAGGACAATGACTCATTTACAGGCAGGCCTGTCTCCAGAAACCCTGGAGAAAGCCAAGGTGGAGTTAAAGGAGAACCCCGACACTTTGCATCAGGACATACAGGAGGTTAGGGACATGATCATCACCCGTCCAGACATTGGCTTTCTCAGGACAGATGATGCTTTCATCCTGCGCTTTCTTAGAGCCCGGAAATTTAACCATTTCGAGGCCTTCCGCCTCCTGGCCCAGTACTTTGAGTACCGGCAACAGAACCTTGATATGTTCAAGAACCTCAAGGCCACCGATCCGGGGATCAAGCAGGCTCTGAAGGATGGATTTCCTGGGGTTCTGTCCAATTTGGATAGATACGGGAGGAAGATTCTGGTTCTGTTCGCGGCGAACTGGGATCAGAGCAGGTAGGATGCTATTGGATTTGTGGGTAATGACGTGCACTGTCAGAGTCGTCTTTTCAGCACAAGTCTTCTGTCATTCACTAGAGCATGATGTTGAGCCATTATGGGATGTAAAGTGTTACCTTGTATTTAAACTTAACATTACAGCATCCATGTTACACATATTGGATGTTACTATTTCTATATGGGTCATATAGAAATTTTATTTATAGACATTTTATTGAACATTTATACAACTTTCTACAGCAAATTTGATCTAACCTTCCAAAGGATGGTGTCCACCAGTTGAGAGATCTTTAAGAGACATTTTAACCATTGAGGGTGTGATCATCCAAGCCTGACCCCTGATGACCTTTGACCTGACCCAATATTTTACATGACGGTCCTTTATATATGTCATTGTGTTTTTATTTACAGTATGACAACATAAATTCAACATGGATGCACCAAGTGCCTGTGGAATATTTGCTGTTATATCATTTTTTAATGAACGGATAACTCTCTCAAAATGTGTAATCTCATTAAAAAAAAGATATGACCTTGACATACAGTTTAAGGGTATCTGGTCTCTTGTCACATGTCAAAATGGCTACCGCCATGTAAAACATGCTGACTTTGATTTGGCAAATAAGGGGTATTTATGCATTTCTTAATGTATTTTTGAATAATTGATCTGAACAAATGTATCCATATATAACCTTTAGTAATGTTTAATCTCAGTGGTTAACAGCCTAGACTTGGCTGAGAGTTCAGACCCAACAAGGGTTAATCTATCATCGATGTGTCCTTGAGAAAAGCACTTCATCCCAGGTTACTCTAAGGACACTGTCCATGCAATAAATGCACTGTAAGTGGTCTACATAATAAGTGATCTACTAAAGGGCACATTATGAAATCAAATAAATACATTTCTTAAAGTGTAAACAAGGTATTTATTTTATCAGTAAGTGTATTGTGGGTTGTGTGTAAACTGTAACAAAAATACTAGTATGTGAGCTTAAACATGGCCTAAAGTTCCAAACTGAATCATTTTTATTCACCCCGTAACTCGGCATGAGCTTATACCAGTCTAAGAATTCAGTAAATTAACAATGGCCTCAACAATCTTTGGACACTTAAAGGAATAGTTCAACCAAAAATGAAAATTTGCTGAAATTTTACTCAGCCTCAGGCTATCCAAGATAGATGTGTAGAGTTTGTTTCTTTATCACAACAGATTTGTATAAATTTAGCATTACATCACTTGCTCACCAATTGATCCTCTTCAGTGAATAGGTGCCGAACAGCTGATAAAAACATAACAGTAATCGACAAATAATCCAGATGACTCCAGTCCATCAATTAACATCCTGTGAAGCAAAAAGCTGTATGTTTGTAATAAACAATCATTTGTAATAACAATCGTTTGTAATAATCCATCATCAAGATGTTTTTAGCTTCAAACCATAACTTCCTCTATCTGTAATATTGTTTTTTCCATTGAAAAATTTGTCTTGTCTGAATCAGGAGAGAAATATATCAAGCACTGTTTATGAGTGAAAACAGTCGAAAACCATTCTAAACAAATATGTTGGTGGACTTTGATTTGAGAGGACAACAGGGGATTAAATAAACTTTATTATAGATTATAGACATGTTTTGGACTGAAGTTATTCTATTCAGTTATTCTAAAGTTAAACCACCTTAATGATGGATTTGTTTCTTACAAAGACGCAGCTTTTCATTCCACAAGATGTTAACTAACAGACTGGAGCCGTGTGGATTATTGTGATGTCTTTATCAGCTGTTTGGACTCTCATTCTGACGGCACCCATTCACTGCAGAGGATCCATTGGTGAGCAAGTGATGTAATGCTACATTTCTCCAAAACTGTTCTGATGAAGAAACAAACTCATCCACATCTTGGATGGCCTGAGTACATTTTCAGCAAATTAAAAATTTTGGGTGAACTATTTCTTTAAATCATACTTAAATGTATAAATATCTTTGAATTTGTTGAACAAAAAGCTCTACTATAATTTTTCTTGCAGGTATTTTGTATATAATTCTATAATGCTATACATTCATACATTTTAAGTGTCCAAATACTTTTGGGGTAAATGGCAATACATAAATATATGCATTAATTTGTTTAGGCACTGTGCATTGATGCATAATTTAAGATTACTTAAATGATATATGTACATGTATTTCTTCAAATGTAATTTCATTTGTTTTAATATTGTGAGAAATCCGCTAACTATTGGTGTTTAGTCTCACCTCTTTAGAATGGAGAGTACATAGTGCTCGAGTCCATATCAAACAGCCTTTGAATTCATGCCAGTCGCACCATTGCCTCGGATGACAGGGCTCTTGGCATCCTCTCACAGGAACAATGTGTGATGAGCACTAGGGTCAAACCGTGCCTGATTTGCTGCATTTATTGCACCATTAAGGGAAATGTAAAGCCCTCTAGAAATTTAAATACAAATTCTGACTAATATGAAGCAAACTTACTCAGTAACCGTATGAGAAAATGTGTGTATATATATCTGCAAACATAAAAATGTAAGTCATGCAAAAACATCTCACATTTAGTTTGTTTGCGACTCTTCCTAAAGCCTTGTGTTTATCTGTAGGTACACTTTTGTGGATATTCTGCGAGCTATTTTACTTTCTCTGGAGGCAATGATAGAAGACCCCGAGCTACAAGTAAATGGATTTGTCTTGATCATTGACTGGAGTAACTTCACTTTCAAGCAAGCTTCCAAGTTAACTCCAAGCATGCTGAGATTGGCAATTGAGGGCCTGCAGGTAACACAATTGTCTGTTTTTAAACTTATGTTTATATCAAAAAATCTACATGGATATTACAATGCATTCTTTTAATTTGTACCTTCATGCATATAAATACGTGTTCTTGGAAGCAATGGAACATCAAATATGTAATGTTCATAAAGTGTGCTTCAGGTTTGAATAATGAGAATTGCATAGGGAAATTCTGCATGTGTGAGGCAGAACAGGTGCTTGTAGAGGAATCCCTCTCCCGTCAAACATTTGGCATTCTCTTTGTGAGTAACATGAACAGGAGCTGACCCAATGATCTAACGCAAAGGAACACAATCTGCATAGATATCAAGAATGAGTATTGTGTTTTATTTACTTGATATTTATCAAACCAAAAAGCAGTTTAAACAACAACAACAAAAGGCAATGCATTGGGAAATGTCAATAGTGTGTGACTATAGTATAGTTTGGAGTTATTCCAGTTTTTTTTTTTACATTAGTAAGCATCTTTTCTGAGATCCATTCCCTTTCATTGTAATGAAGTAAAACCATAGACTGAATAAAAACATGGACGTAGTGTCCGTGACGTCACCCGTAAGTTCCTGAAGAGCGTTTTTGAAGCTCAAAGTGGGCAGAGCCAGCCGTCGCCATCTTGGCAGCACGTCCCCGCGCGTCACTCCCAGATAATCGAAAATGGGCAAAAAGGCGGGAGCTGGTTGCTGAAACCACGCCCACCTAGCTCGACGGTGGTGACAGCAGCGGCAATCCACTTGTCACTCAAGTGGCCACGCCCTTAATTATGCAGAACTTTAAGGCTTAATATAATTTAAACGGATGACTTATAAAAAAATTCACCCCCCTCACAGTTGTCATGAAGGGCAAAATTAGCTATATAGACCAAAATAATTTTTTGAACCAGGCTGTAAACGTTTTTTTCTGCTGTAAAGTTGGGCATTTTAACATGGGGAGTCTATGGGATTGACTCCCTTTTGCAGCCAGCCTCTAGCGGCCAGTTGACGAATTACAGTTTAAGTCACTTCCGTGTTGGCTTCACGAGAGAGAGCGGGAGGTTGCTGCTTGAGTAAAACACATTTTTGACATTTATTAATGGTGTTCGCTAAGGAAAGAATCACTATTATAAACTGCTCAAACTCAGGTTTAAGAATTTAAATAAATCCTTAAAGGAACAGTCATAATTTACTCACCCTCATGCCATTCCAAATGTCCAAACCTGTCATTCTTCCGTGGAACATAAAATAAGGTATTTAGAGAAATGTCTCGGTGTTTTTGTTCATATAATTAAAGTCAGCGCAGTCCAGTTTTGTTTTGTACCCCACTGATTTTAACTATATGGACAAAAATAGTTGAAACTTCTTCAATATTTCTGTTTTGTGATCTGCGGATGAAAGAAATACAGGTTTGAAATGTCATGAAATATATGGCATTTTTGCATTTTTAGTGAACTATACCTTAACCACAAGTCAGAACTTGTCCCATTTTGTTTGAGCTACCTGAAATTTGCATCTTATTCCATTCTCTTAAAGGTGTCATATGATGTTGCTAAAAATAACATTATTTTGTGTATTTGGTGTAATGAAATGTGTTTATGCGGTTTAAGGTTCAAAAACAGTTTTCCACAAACTGTACATTATTGTTTCTCCTCTATGCCCCGCTTCTAGTCCTCTTTTGGAAGGCCAAACAAAGTAGTTTCGCTTTCACAACGAAACACACAGCGTCACACACGGCGGGCTGCACTTCATGATGCCATAGAAGAACCTTTTTTGTCTAAATGGTTATATAAAGAACCTTTAACATCTGAAGAACCTTTCTGTTTCACAAAAGGTTCTTTGTGGCGAAAGAAGGTTCTTCAGAATATAAAAAGGTAAGAAAGAGATGGTTCTTTAAAGAACCTTTGACTGAATGGTTCTTTGTGGAACCAAAAATGGTCCTTGAAAAATGGTCGCTTGAAGAACCTTTTGAAGCACCTTTATTTTTAAGAGTGTAGAGTGAGGAACGGCCAGCGGGCTAGAGAACGGCGCGGCCGGCAGGCTTGAGTGAGCGGCAGCGGGCGGGCTAGAGTGAGCAGAGGCCGGCGGGTTAAAAAGGAAAAATTGAAATCGCATCATATGACCCCTTTAATTTTCTAAGAGTTTGGACCAACATTTTTTACCTTGTGGATGATAAAATTAGCAAAAGGAAGTCTGTGTGTGCGCACTAAGGATGGGTTAAATGCAGAGCACTAATTCCTAGTATGGGTAACCATACTTGGCCACACGTCACTCACTCACTCAAAACTCTCCCATATACTTACATTGAAAGGAGTTGAGTAATATCTATGCACCAGATATTATAGAGACTTCAGCAATTGCATAGCAACACCCTGGCAACCACCTACAACACTGGTGGTGTTTTGAACGGACATTGCATAAAATGTACAACTTTTTAACATCACTATTAAACATAACCGAGTAGCAATTGTCCATTGTGCTACAAAATGGTCACTGTGCATTTAACAATAGCTAATCTGTGCACAGACATTGTCCATTTCCAGAAGCAGCCTCTTGAAAGCTCTCATTTAGACATCGCTCCTTTGAGGAGGGCTTGGGTCTGATATGACATGTAGGCAGTGCAGAGTGAGGCCTGTTGACTGAATATTAATGCGGGTCCATGATGAGCCATTCCAGTGCCTCTTCAGACAGATTAGCTGGTGAATAATTGATCGCCGCCATTAGCATCTTGCATCCACAATGTGCTGTTCACATTGAGTGGGACATCGCATTTGTAGCTGTTTGAAAGGGAAACAATAGCGTAGATTGAGGGAAAACAGCCACAGCTAATTAGTTGCAGTTCAAAGAGTGCTCAGCAGCTAGCTTGTCAGCATACATCACGATTTACATATGTAAATATGTACAGGAATTCAGATTTTTTACTTTTTTGATCAGATTTGCATGCATAAAAAGTTACAAAGAGCGACTTCTAGGATGATTGCATGCATTTACAGATATACACTACTGTTCAAAAGTTTGGGGATAGTATGATTATTTTTTAAAGAAATAAATGATTTGATTCAGTAAGGATGCATTAAACTGATCAAAAGTGGCAGTAAAGACATGTATAATGTCAAAATATATATATTTCAAAAATGAATACAATTTCAAAGTTCTTTTGAACTTTCTATTCATTTTTTTTAAAGAATGCTGAAAAAAAAATTGGTAATAATAAGAAATATTTTTTCAGCTCCAAATTAGCATATTCAATTTCTGAATGATCTTGTGACACTGAAGACTGCAGTAATGGCTGCTAAAAATTCAGCTTAGCCATCACATGAATAAATTATTATTTAAAATATATTAAAACAGAAAACAGTTATTCTAAATTGTATTAATGTTTCACAATATTACTGTTTTTTTTTGTTTTTTTAATAAATGCAGCCTTGGTGAGATTAAGAGACTTCCTTCAAAAGCATTAAAAAAAAAAAATCAGAACAACTTTTGAACACCAGTGTATGCTGTTTACACTGGTTTCCTAAATGCTTATAGGTCAGATGATGAATGCTAGAATGAGAGGTGTGATGCCCCCTGGTTCTGTTTTGACACTGACAGACCCACGGTATGTACACTGAGTCATTAAACATGACGTTTAGAGCCGGTGGGGAAATCACACAGCCCTCCGACCCAAAAGTGCAGGGTCATGTGAAGCATTACATCAGTCTGATGGCATTGTTCATATGGACATCTGTCTGTCTCAATCATCAATGTAATGAAGCATCAAAATCATATAATCAAAAAATCAGTTTATTGTCATATAAGTGAGTCATAAGACAGAGACAGAAAGAAAGGAAGGACATGGACAGAAGGAATAGCAGAGAATACTTAAGTCCCTTATGTTCTCTGCTCATTTTAATTTTTTTTATGGTGAGTCCATTTGATGAACTAGAATCTGTTGCTATTGAAAATACCTTTTTTTTGTGCCAGAAACTATCATGTATGTTTTGCCAGGTTGAAAAAGAACTAATGGATTCTTACTAGAAAACCTCATGGTTTGCAGGCAATGGACATTTCGTGTTATTTGAGGTAATGTGAGTTTATTGTTTAATTTACAGTAGAGCCATCATATACATTCCCTAGCAAATGGTGGCTCAGCAAAGAGCACTTGATGCACAGAAAATGGCTGTTCTTAGCAAAATCAATAAACAGAAACACTCCTGAGTTGAATAGAAGTGAGAGAAAGTGGTCCTGGCTTTCCTGGAGAAGTGCTTTGCTGTTTCAGCCTCTGTTGTTTGCTTCTGTGATTTGGACATGCCTTTTGTCTCTCTCAGTCTTGAGAAATAACCCACGCTTGGCAGCCAATCACAATGGGCCAATCTTCCCCAGCCCACCCCATGCCGAGTTTCCCTGGCAACCTGTCCAACCGCCATGCTATGCACCCTCCAGATGGGCTGTGCTCACAGAGAGAGACGCACTCATGTCACTCAGCTACTGTGGCCGTATGTGCGTGTTTCTATGTAGGGCACTTAAAGTGCATTTTAGAAAGCACAGGAAGTTCATTGTCCTGACAGACTGACATGCGTCACATTGTTGCATTCCCATAAAAGTCATTTTTTATTGCACTCTAAGGTTCTTTTTATTGCTGAGACTGACATCAGTTGTTGGAGTATCAGCAACAATTTTATTATCATTATTATTATTATTATTAATAATTTTTAAATATTATTTTTAAAAATGTATTCATTTTATTTTTATTTATTTTTATTAGTTGTGTGTATGCAGTTTAGTTTAGCAAACTGAATGACCTTGCATGATCTGAAAAATATATTTCAGAGCATTTCCCCATTAACACAGTAGGCTAGTTTCCACTTTTTTTTTTGTTTTGTTTGCCAGATACAGTTCATTAAACACAACTTGACCTGTTTTGACAACATGCCCCAATGTTTTATTGCTATACTGTAATGTTTATTATTATTATCAGTAGTAGTAGTAGTATTAATAATAATAATGATGATAATACTTAAGATCGTTTTAGATAAT